CCTGGCCCACAGTCAGGACAAATCTCTATCACCTGCCAGTCCCACAGCTGCTCAGACCCGACCAAGTAAACACAGAGACTTATATTGGTTACAAACTGTATGGCCGTGGCAGTCTTCTTGCTAACTGTTCTTACAGCTTAAATTAATCCATTTCCATTAATCTATACCTTGCCACGTGTCTCGTGGCTTACTGGCATCTTCATATGCTGTTTGTTATCATGGCGGCTGGCAGTGTCTCTCTGACTCAGCCTTCCACTTCCCAGCTTTATTCTCCTCCTGTACTTCCTGCCTGGCCACTGGCCAATCAGTGATTTATTTACCAACCAATCAGAGCAACACATTTGCCATACAGAATATCCCACAGCACTAAAGGGCTTGGATAGCACCACTCCCCAAGCTCTGTTGCCTTAGCACGTACACTCTCTTGTGCCAGTTCCACTTCGTACCTGCAGCTTTCCTTGGCAGACGACGTGATTCTGGCATCTCCAACTAACAGAGGTCTCCATTTTGAACTAGGGTTTACCTTCACAGCTTTACACAGGCTGGCCTCTCAGGAACTCCAATCCTGCCATACATCGCCTGTCCTCAGCAGCTTCTGAAACCATAGTATAAGATTCCACGATTCACACAGTGTTGTCTTTTATGCCTCAGAAACCAGTTCTGTGTGGATGATACTACCAAGTTCTGCTGCCAGCTCAGGATGTATCCTCCTTGGACCACAGTGTAGCAACTTCAGTGTGTCAGTCCTGGTCAGACACTTCCCTGGCCATTGCTTTTCAGGAACAAGGAACCCTTTCAGTTACATTCTTGGTTTAGACTTCCTCCTGTCAGATGAATTTGCATTTTCACAAGTCTGAGCTTTGATGGGTAGGGTCTTGTCCTCAGGGCCCCTTTCCCATTGTCCCAGTGCCGAATAGGTTTCTCTTTAATAATTATAGCCTCTTTTCAACAAGGGCCTCAATTGCAACTTTAAACTTGCTCATGCTCGCCAGGCACTGGTGGTGCAGACCTTTTTTTTTTTTTTTTTTGGTTTTTCGAGACAGGGTTTCTCTGTGTAGCTTTACACCTTTCCTGGAACTCACTTGGTAGCCCAGGCTGGCCTCGAACTCACAGACTCTGACTCTGCCTCCTGAGTGCTGGGATTAAAGGCGTGCACCACCACTGCCCGGCCTAAGTGGTGCAGACCTTTAATCCCAGCACTTGGGAGGCAGAGGCAGATGGAGCTCTGTGAGTTCAAGGCCAACCTGGTCTACAGAGTAAGTTCCAGGACAGGTTCCAAAGCTACACAGAGAAACCCTGTCTCAAAAAACAAAAAACAAAACAAAACAAAAACAAACTTTGCTCATGCTCTTTCCTGCACAAACTGCACATTTTTAATGTCTTTGCTTCACTTTTGGTCTCTCTGGCTATAGATCTAGATGACAGCAGAAATCAGTGGCCACACCATAGCCTAAATGCTATCCTGCCCTGAAATTTCTCCTGTCAGATTAATTAGCCCATTACTCCTGTATTTAACTTCACTCAAGTTCTCATGACATGGGTAAAATGCAGCCAAATCCTTTGCCAGAATATCATGTGGATGGCTTCTAGCCCAGTTATTGATGAGTCTGTGGTCCCCTCTGAAACCTCATAAGCTGGGACTCCACCATCTACATTTCTTTCAACATTCTTCCAAGCTCTCACAGGAATGGCCCAGTAAGATTTGCTTACAGAGTTCAAGGGCTTTTCTAGCCTGAAATTCCAAAAGTCTTCAACATTCCTCCCATAAACCGGTTCCAGTGGCTCATCCAGTGGTTTCTTAGAGCAGCAGCCCCACTCCTGGTACTGTTTTTATTCATTGCTTGTCCTATTAAGGACCAGCAAGATGGCTCAGCCGGTAAAGGGACTTGCTGCAAAGTCTGGCAGCTTGAGCTTGATCCCCAGGACTCACATGGTAAAGGAGAGAACTGACTCCAGAAAGTTTCCTCTAACCACACATATCATGGCATATGTGTACTTACATACATATGTACAACACACACACAATTTTTTTTTATTTACAACATAAAACAAGAGGGGACATTATAACAAAACAAGAGAGTTTATTGTGGCATGTAGTTAAAGGGAAGTCCATCATGACAGAGAAGGCATGACTCCATCGTCTACAGTAGGAAACAGAGTTGTTGTTCTTTACTCTTTGGGGGACCTGCCACTCCCAAATAAATCACACACAAGGAGTCTTATTATTTCTTATGAATGCCCGACCTTGGCTTGTTTCTTGCCAGCTTTTCCTAACTGTAAATTAACCCATCTGTCTTTTGCCTGTGGGCTTTTACCTTTCTCTATTTTTTGTATACCTTTCCTTCTTACTCTGTAGCTGGTTGTGTAGCTGAGTGGCTGGCCCCTGATGTCCTCCTCCTCTCGACCTAGCTCTCTCTGGTCTCCCAGATTTCTCCTTCTATTAATTCTCTCTGCCTGCCAGCCCCGCCTATCCTTTCTCCTGCCTCGATATTGGCAGCTCAGCTCTTTATTAGACCATCAGGTGTTTTAGACAGGCACAGTAACACAACTTCACAGTTGAACAAATGCAAAATAAGCAAAAGTAATGCACCTTAAAATAATGTTCCCGCCGGGCGGTGGTGGCGCACGCCTTTAATCCCAGCACTCGGGAGGCAGAGCCAGGCGGATCTCTGTGAGTTCGAGGCCAGCCTGGGCTACCAAGTGAGTTCCAGGAAAAGGCGCAAAGCTACACAGAGAAACCCTGTCTCGAAAAAACCAAAAAAAAATAAAATAAAATAATAATAATGTTCCCAACACAAAGTGATAAGTCTGGTGCTGTGTTTACTTTCTCCTTTTTGTACAGTATCTAGGTCATCAGCCCATGAACGGTACTGTCCTCATTTAGGGTATGTCTCCTTACCTCAATGATCTAGCCTAGATAATCCCTCACAGACCTGCCCAGAGACTTATCTGTTTGGTCATTAGTCCAGTTGACAATGTTACCCTTCACACAGTATAAACCAAATACTATTTGATGAATAGCCATAGTAAAAAATATTATGCCCCTGTTTGTACAAATGCATAGAAGACAAGTATCACAATTACCTCACTATTAACAGTCTATTTCACTTAAAAAAAAAAAGGTTACAATGCTAAATAACCTGCTAATGGACTTTGACTCAAGAGTTTTCAAAACATAGACCCAAGGTTGTTGGAGAGATGATTTAGCAGTTAAAAGCACTAGCTGCTCTTCTTGGGGACCCAGGTTCAATTCCCAGCACCCACATGGTAATTTACACTCTAGTTTTAGGGGTCTGAAGCCCTCTTCTACACACATGGAATACATGCAAGTAAAACACTTATACATAAAATACTTTCTTTAAAATGGAAATTTAAAAAAAAATCCAACATCAACCCATAATGGGCAAACTTTTTATGAGAGAGACAGCTACTGGATGTTTTAGGCTTGTGAACCAACCATTCATGACCTTAGCTCTCTGCCTCTTCTCATTGTAACCAAGAGCCATAGGCTGTACTTAAATAGACATGGCTGGATATTACAGACTGTTTTAGATTGGTCAGTCTCCCCAACCCCAAGAGCTGGGGTCAAGTCAGCTTCCCTGAAACACAAAGGTATGTGGAGAACAGATCGCTGAATAGAATGAAAATTTGAGGCGAGTGTGAAATGGGCAGCAGTGGCTGTCAGTTCAACCTAAGTTTTCATAAGTACTTCTCATGTAGTTAATCTCCATGCAGGTAACGCTGAGGTCTACTCAAACACGAGGCGGTGTTTGCTAGTGCCTTTAGGAGTAGACAGATGGGAACAGTATCAAATAAGTTCATTGCTCAGCTGTCTCCCACATCTTGCCCACATAAATATTCTTTAAACATATCTAAGTACCCATCTGCCTTACTCCACTCTTAGGCACTGTGATAGATGCTGGGTAATCAAAAATGGTCAGAACACACCACTATCCGTAGGTGAAGCCGCCTCATTTTCCTTTTAGCTGAGATAGAAAAGGGATTAAGGAGTGCTGCTGAATCCTGACGGGAAAGTGTTGCAGTTGCCAGCTTTCGAAATGGTAACTACCTCTTTGGTGTAAGAAACTTCGAAACCTTCTTCCAAAGTCATTAACCTAATATTTGCAGGTATTTTAAGATACTAGTTTCAGATCATGTGATCATAGTCTTTAGCATGACTAGAGGCAAACCTTCAAAGTGGCAGTGAAACATGAATTCAGTTGAGCCCAGTTTTTTGTGAGAGCCAAGATGATATAGGGTGAAGTCAGCATTGATTTGAGCTGCTTCTCACTATCTGAAATAGGAGGGAGAAGACTCCCAGTCCTAAGGATTATAAGAATGAGAAGTGGGCAGAGAAAATTCAGCAGGTTATCAGCTGACACCCACTTCTACCCCCGAAAGTCCCCAGGCTGAAGCCTACCTAGGCCTCTGTGCCTTGTTCTGACTATAGTCCCTCTGCCAGGGCATCATGGAGCTAGTCTTCATTTGGGGATACTTCTTTCTGGACCATCTGAGTGTCCTTGAAACAGATGGGTCAGGGTTGAAAGCACAAGCATAGAATGCAGCCCAGGGAAAAGTGGGATGGTAGAAACTGGAAGAGAATAGAAAAGAACCTGGAAAAAGATTTGGCAGGAATACCCAGGACTGGCTCTTCTAACAGCCTGGGGCTTCCCTTAGTCTAATAGCATTTTGTACTAACAAGCCTTTTTCTTCTGTATACTGTTCAAAGTAATTTTACATGTTTCAAAGTAGTTCAAGGACTCAAGACAGAAACCAGACTGAATTAGCTTGACGTCACAATTGTAAAAAAATACACAGCTGCAAGAAAGGAAGGGGGTTCGGGAAGGGTGCCAGCTCCTGAGTTAAGGTGCTGCTTGTCAGCAGCCTGCAGTGGCAGCCCCACAAGCTGGTCTGCAGTATGTTTTCTCTGCAGCCACCCACCCCTTAGCAGGATAGTCAGATTAATCTCTCCTCCCTAACCCAGGCTCTCTCTTCCTTAGATACTTTGTGGGAAAGAGATTCCTCGCTGGATCAATCGACTGGCCTACTTCAGCTCCTGTATCCCCTTTCTACAGAGTTGCCTCCCGAAGGAGTGGCTCACTCCTGCTGCACTGCAGTCCAGTGTCAGCCAGGAGCTCCAGGATGAACTGGAAGAAGCAGAGGATGCAGCCGCTTCCGCTGCCATGGCAAGTGCTGCAGCTGGTGCCAGAACTGGGCAGCGTCACACTAAACTATGAGCATCTCCAAAGTCACACCCTCAGAACTATCTCTGGCAGTTGAATATCACTAGAGAAAAGAAAACAGAGTAAATGTCCTTTGGATATTTTGTATGCAAAGATGGCTCTCCCCCAAATCCCAGTTTTTCAGCTCAGGATTATATTTGTAATCAAAAACAAAAACAAAAAAAAAAAGAAGAAAAATCACTTGGCGCAGAGGGAAAACTTTATATGAAGCTGCCCTCTTTTTTTTTTTTTTTTAATCCACTTGTAAATTTGGATTCACTTCCTCTGTTTTCTACAAGCTCTGTTAAATTACGTTTACAGTATTTTGTATCACTGTTTACAAATCTTGCATGGACTTCTGCCACCGTGAAAGAAGAAAATCTTCATCTTCAAATATTAGGCAGGTCATCTTTGTACACATCCTGAAAATTGCCAGAGCTACAGCATAAAAAGTAGGCACATGAAGAAGTACCTACATGGTTAGTTCCCATCACTTTCTTAAGAGCTGTGTGTTAGACTTGTATTTGTTTTGTTACCATTTTTGGCACCCAGATACAGGAATCCAAACTGGCCTGACATGAAGGAGCACACACATAACCCAAGGGTTTGGGGCCCTGGGTCAGTCCCTCTCCACCCCCTTCCTGTTCTGAGTAGCACATTTCCCAAGGTGCCCGTGGAGCAGCTGGTCTTCATCCCAAATATGCCCACCTCAGCAGGGTGGCATTCTTGTATCTGCTGGCTTGATGCCTCAATTCTATAATGAAGATGTTTTCATGGAAGACACTCTTATTAACTGACAAGTGTTTTTGCACATGTGTTGGGGGAGGGGCTTCATTTTTATTTTAATACATACTAAACTCCCTGCACAGGATGTTTTGGTGGGATGGGAGTATCCTTACCTAGCTTCCTGAGCAGCAGTACAAACTGACATTAAACTGCTTTTTAACTAGTCAGGCTACCTTTTATACTAGACATTGAAAACTAGAGTCTAAAGAAACACACACCCCAAAGGTAATTCTTTAATATTTAATACTTTGTGTACACCATGTCAGAAATGGCTTGTTGGAATTTATTAGTTCATGATGAGAATAGTTTCGCCTCCTGATAGAAATTCTATTTTCATTGCTCTCTTGTTGAAAAATCATATTTTTGTGTGTCTTAAATTCATCTTTTATGTTCTCTCAAATGTGTGTCTCATACATAACATAATCTTAGGAATGAAGTTGTCGCTACAGCTAAGTCTTCTTTAGTAAGGAAGTTGTCTGCTAGAGTCTACCCTCAGTTGACCCTTGGATGTAAGAACCAATCATTACATGTCACAATCAATGTTCTGCCTTAAGAGTGAGTGTCCTGTGTAAAGTAGTGGATGCAGCATAGAAACATCCAAGGCACTGACTGCAGCTTTAGATACTTCATTATTTGAAAATGAACATTTCTCTATGTGAGGATACATATCTTTGAGTAAATTACATCTTTAACTTTTCCATGAGCTGATTTTGATTGACACTTAACGTAAGCACACCCTCTTTAGGGAAAGTAAACCTTGGGTTATAAACTCTGGCCTAAGGAAGAAGAAGCCACTTTGTGCTGTTTGACTGTTCTGTTTCCAGAGAAGAAAGCCGTTGCAAGTCACTCTGCTCCATGAGGGGCAGAGCATGCGTTTCAGGAACCATGCAGCAGGACAGAATATGCGGTCTTTATGAAGAGTTGACTTGGGTCAGGTCTGAAAATGAGACTTAGGACAAAACACTAATGCTCTCCAGGAGGTTGTTCACTAAAAGAAGAGCCCTAGCCCTCAAGCCCAGGTTAGTAGGAAATGCTTGGTACAGTTGACTTGGGGTTTTTTTATTTATTAATCATGTGGATCATGGTGTTTTGTAACCCATTGAAATATAAATGTTTTGTTTTGACTCTGCTGTTGACTGAAGGGAATGGCCCCTCAGACATTTCTGGGTAAAAAGCCAGGAACAGCTCCTCAGTGCTCACCCATATTTCAGCAGCTCAGCACACAAGTAACTTTCTGTCCTCACATCTGTCTGTAGCATTTGAAGTTTGAAGGGGTATAAAGGTCTTCTGGGAAATAAACAGTGCCTGCTCCAGTTACCTGAAAATCAGCAGGTCAAATTCTGGACATGAGATTCCTTGCAGTCTAGTGTACCTGAGGTTGAAAGAGAAAGAAAATCTCAGTTAGTGAGGACCTTCTCTACAGTGCAAGTTAAGAGTAGGTTAAATTAATTTCGCTTTTCTTGCCCTTGGAGGAAAGCAATCTTGTTCTCAACCAGAACTTATAAGAAAAAATCCCAAGTCAAAACTCTGGTCATGAATTTCCATGTGATCCATGGAGTCAAATACAGCTTCTGTAGTGTAACCAAGTGAGACCATTTCTACTGGTAGGTTGAACAGTAATAGTGGTAAAAGATCAGACAGCTCGTTTCTTGTACTCGTTTAAATACGACTGAGGGCATCAGCTTTAGAAGTGTAACATGGGGCTATAGAAGGTGGTGATTGTTCTAGAGCACCTCCAGGCCTGAACTCCAGCCAACTATTGCTCTGACTCACAGCAATAGCATACTTACCCATCACCAGCATCTTACAGAGCAGGGAATTCCAGGGTTAGTCCATTGATAGCCTTGTGTGTGTGTGTGTGGAGATTAGGCACCACGGACAGCTGCAGAACTCTGTTTCCATGGCTGCTTCTATCACAAGACGGGTAGAAACACGTTCACTGCTTCAGGGCTCCAAGCCATGTGTTGTTTTCTTGCTCCATTAGATATTTCCTGTAGCTTTGCTGTATGCTATGTCTGCTTCAAATGACTGATTTTCAAAGTTAGCTTTGTCAGCAGTTGGCCATCCTGCCATGACGTCCCATTCTTGTCAGTCTGGTTTGATAGTGTAGCTCACTGTTAGACTGTCATTGTCTGCTCAGTCTATCCACACCCATCTCCACTGTCAACAGGTGGGCAGCTGTCAATGACTCCTCGTGGACCTGAAGAGAGATTCTTGTGAAGTTGAATGCAAGTGTGCTGTCCTTCACAGTGTTTATAAACACCAGGAACCTTCACTTTTGCTACCTTGATATAGCATTGGGTTATCTATCATGTTACAACATTGAAATACATCGATTTATTAAAAACTACTTTTATAAGAAATGTTTTACAGTTCTTTCTGACCTCTAAGAGACAATGCTGTTCCGTACTTGTGCTGGGAAGGGGTTGTTTGTACAATCCAGGAGTCCCATCTGCTCTGCAGGAATGTGGCCAGCCCCTCTGTGACATGTCTTTCTTGTAGTCACAGCTTCCCTCACTCAAATGGTGATTACTCTTGGGCACAGGCAGCAGGTAGCAGCGCCGATTTCTGGAGAATGGAGGCAGAGTGGGCCGACTGGAAGGCTTTCCCAACCCCTTCAGCAGTGAAGTAGGAGCCCGGGTGCCTGTGCTCCTTGGCTGCCGTTAGCCTCTTCTGCTTGGTACTCCAACCTGAACCTTGGCCTTCACCTCCATTGGCCTTTTTGTACCTTGCTCAATGGTTTCCTCCCTTGGTTTAAACTCTTCCCCTCGAATTAAGTCTTATCAAGTAAATGAATAGTAGTTTTTATGGTCTACCAAGATTTGTCCACTCTGCCAAAAAAGAGTGATCTACTCTAACTAGGCTCTTCTCACCTCAGGGACACTCAATGGGACACTTCCCATAATTTCCTAATAGACTCAGATCTGCTAAAACAACTTAAAGGTACTCCCTCCAAAAAGAATGCCAGTAATACTAGGGAACAGTTCACTTTTTTTTTAATTGTCCCTAAATTTACCCGTGTATTGGCCTTGCTCTAATTTTCTGGAAGTCTGTGCTAAGGAAGATTAATGACTTCCTATACTTTCTAAAAGGTCAATTAGTAGCCAACAGCTACTTACTTTCTTTTGATAGCAAACAGAGCTTCTCTCTTACCTGTGTCACGGGGGCTGCACTTTAAGCTGCTAGCAGCCCTGCTGCTCAGGCTGTAGCCTGGGGGGAATTCTGTTCCCCCAGTGACAGCTTTACCTAAATCTCTGTAGTTCTAATAAAACTCCAGATTCAAAGGCTAGGAGAGTAGCAACTGGCTCATTTCCTGTCTTTGCTGGGGTCCAGGAAGTCTCTCTCCTCCCACACCGCCCCAACTAAAAAACCCGTGCTCCTCTCCTCCCTGCTGCTTCCTGTCAGCTAGTTGCTAACCGCCTCTCGGAGCCCAGGTTAAGTTTATTAACACAAATGCAACAAATATTCCACAACAGAGAACTGCTAAGCATTCTCAAACCTGTCTAGTTCCTCTCAACACACCTTGACTCAAACTGCACATTTGAACAATTTCCTTCCTGTCCAAACCAAGGGAACACTAAAGAAATGTTAGAACACCTCTCCACTGGCTCAAGGACCTATTTATTTCCAGAGACCAGATGAGCCTTGATGTGCTCTACAGCCCTGCCCTGGCTGGGAAGAATTCATAGTCCCACTTGAGAGTGACCCCTCCCATGCTGTTGAGGGCTGCCATTTCAAAGCCTTGCCCTGGCCCCTCACACTGGAGAGCACTCACTCGAAATGGGCCTCCAGGTTGAGGAGGACATTGGCTATCACCTTGTCTTCTATCCCAAACTCACAGGCAGGCAGTGGATTTAGTGCTGGGACAGCCTCCATCCACTTCTGACGCCCTAACCGTATCTCAGATCTCAGGCTACCCATAGAAACTACATGAGTTGGAGGACTTGGGTACAGTTACCCAGGTTGCTAAACCAGACTCCTCAAAGCAGCTTGAATGCAGCTTGCTTGACTGTTTCAGATACACGTGTGAGGTGAATAACAAATTAAGAAAGGCAGTTTGGAGCTGGAGTGGTGCCTCAGCAGTTAGGAGCACTGGCCGTTCCTCCAGAGAACCTGGGTTCCTGTAACTAGTCCCTGGGGCATCTGAAGTCCTCTTCTGGCTCTTTGACCTCACATGGTGCACAGACATACATGCAGGCAAAACACTCATTTTTTAAAAAAAAATTTAAGGTAGTTTGGTCCACCTGGGGTTGGGGGCTCAGTGTAGGTGGCCTGTCCTTATCCCCTCAAATATGAGCTGGAACTTTCCAGTGACAAAACTGGAATATGGCCTGAGTGAGCAGAGGCTGCCAGACTTGGCCAAAGCAAGTATAAGAAACATATACCTTCCTCTTCTGCCAGCATCAGTGAACAGACACCACAGGAATACCCTAGCATTGCCCCCACAAATATTTAAAAAACAAATTACTACCTTAGACTGAAGACAAAAGAAAAAGCAAAATCCTTTTGTTCTACCTCTGACGTGTTTGGGGATGTGCTAGGTCACTTAAATACATTTCATTTATCACAACATCCTGTGTGTCACAAACACAGTTGAGAGGTTATTAGCCTAAAATCACACAGATTTTCTGGTTAAAGTGACTGTCCAGCAGCCTAGATAGGTGAACCATTGGAGGACTTAGTCGTTGGTTCCCCTACAAAATTCAGTAGAGATGGAGGCAGGATTTCCCACGTTTTTGATGGGTTTGAGTCAACCTATACAAATCATTCAAAAAGTAACCACAAAATAAAACTTGAACCTGAGCACTTTAGAGAAAACTGTCTAGAAGCCCCTAGTCCATAGGCTAAGGCTGGGCTGTTTTATCCAAGGGCCACCTCCATCAATCAGCCATCCATGCTTATGTCTCATCACCAAAGACCCAAACTGCTCAGACCCCAGGGAGCCTGCACATCGCCTCATCGGCCAGCTGTCCATCCTTACTATCCCCTCTTCCAGTGTGGCAGGCAAAAATGCTTTAGTAGGTGATACTTGGGGTGTTTTAAGAAGCATCTCTCGGCCACACCCTAGCCCTTGAGAAGCCCTGGAAACCTTTGTGTTCTCCATTTCTGCTTCTGTCCTTCCCACTGCAGAGCCTCTAGCCAACTGAACCTGAGCTGTCCAGTTTCATCAGATGCTGCCTGCTGCTTCCCACTCTTCTGCTCATGCTGTCTTCTTCTCCAGCCTTTCCCTGTCCTCATTCCCAGTGATTACATCCCCACAGATGGCCCATGTATTTGCCTATGTCATCTTGGCACCCTGACCCCCTAGTTGCCAGCCCCCTCCTCAGTCATGTTCATCATTCTACGCCCACACGTTTCATCATCCATTCCCAGGTAATAATCACTGTCATTGTCCCAGTCTCTATCACTTTAACCCTGAACACTAGGAACGTTCTAAACCACTTCTGGGATCTTTTGTTTTTTTCAAGACAGGTTTTCTCTGTATAGCCCTGGCTGTCTTGGAACCTTGTAGACCAGGATGGCCTTGAACTCAGAGATCCACCTGCCTCTGCCTCCCAAGTGCTGGGATTAAAGGCATGAGCCATGCCTGGTCACTTCTGGAATCTTCGTTCCAAGCATTTCTGACCATTAACTTTAGGCTTACCCTGGTCCACTGCACTACAAGAAGTCATTGGCCTTTTCAAGAACCCAAAGCATTAAACCTAGCAATTACTAATGTCTCCCCTCTAAACCCACCTCTTTCTCCTCTCACCCAAACCAAATCCTATGGCCAGCAACTAAGTCATTTCCTCCTCAGGGCCCTCTGCCACTTCAGTTCTCCTTTATTAAAATCATCTGGCTGGCTAGCCCGATTGGGATATAGATTCTGCCAGAGTCTAGCTGCCTCTGTGTGGGTTGGCTTGGCCTGATGTCTCTGTCCACAAAGCAGCGGGCACTCACCACTGCACCATGGCCTACTCTTGGTCCCTTGGAAGTCAGCCTCCCCTTGGAAGCTCAGTTGAGACCCTCACTTGATGCCTCAGTACAAAGATGTCGGGTCAATTGGCCTCTCATCTCTCAATCTCCAGGCTCACAGAATGTGTCTCCAGAGACACTGCTACCGTGGGAGGTGCTCCCTACTTTTGTCAAATGTCCCCCACCATCGACTTTCCAGACTTGGTCTCTAACGATTTTACTCCCATGCCTCAACATCGAATTTCCTCTTTCCTATCAGCAGGTAGCGCAGGGGATCTCCTCTACAATGTCCCCTGGAGTCCTGCTATGACAAAGTGAAACTTCTCCATCGCCACAACCAAAATATGCCAGCTCCATGTCCCAGTCACTATTTTGAAAATCACCTTAATTTCGAATGATGTATAATCTAATAGAACTTAGGTCTGGGAGTGGAGCTCCCAGTGTATCAGGTGGGAGAACACTTGCCTAGTATTTGCAAAGCCCTGAAAAGTAGAGGGGAGAGATATATGTAATTGTATGTACAATTTAAAGGGTAATAAAATGAATAACACGCTCTGTACCTACCACTCAGCTTAAATAACAGGCCTGGAGAACATGTCTAGGCCCCTCCCCCATTACTACCTCTTCCTTCCACCAGAAGGGGAACCACCATCTTGAAGTTCATATACATTGTCCCTTTGGTTTTTTTCTTTATGGTTTTATTACCTGCATATGCCTATTTTTGAGCTTTGTATAAATGAAATCATATATATCCCATGGTTTTTAAATTCTCTATTTTTATAATTCATGCATATTAATATGTATAGTTCTAACTCGTCTCCACTGCTGTATTGTATTCTGCTGTATTATACAAACACACCATGATTCTGTTTATATATTCTCCCTTTGATGGATGTTTGATGAGCAATACTTTGTGAATTCTCTAAGGCATGTCTGCGGTTGTGAGGATCTCTCCAGGAGCTGCTAGGAATGTATGTGTTCAAACTTATTGATGTAGAAAAACAATATACTCTTATTACACTTTTATTAAATAAAATCCTGTTCAGCCCTTTATCCATCTGCTAATCAAACAGAACTCCATGGTCCAATTATTCTCTTAGAATATCACATAATGAAATTTCTCAGAGCTTTGCCTTAAAAATATTTTTCATACCTAAAGGAATCAGACAAATGAAAATCATACTAACCTCCCACACAGCCAATGGGAAAGATAACCCTGAACATTGAAAAAGTAGTTTTAAAGAAGTCTAGTCAAGCTGGGCACAGGGTGCATGGCTGTAATCCCAGGTTTGGGAGACCAAAGCAGGATTGTGAGATTCGTGTCTCAAAAAACTTAAAAATGTATGCCTTGTTCTCTGTAGAATGACACTTAGGAATAGTATGATTCAAGACTGAGCAAATTAAAAATAGAAGTGTCTGTTGGGCCCGTGAGATGGCTCAGCGGATAAAGGTCCTTACTGCCCAGGCTGACACCCTTACTTCAATCCACTGGACCCACATGACAGGAGGAGAGAACTGACTCTCACAAGTTGTCCTCTGACCTCCACGTGCACACTGTGGCACACATACATCCCTCACACACATACACACGAATGTTTTCAAAAGTCTCTTAACTCCAGAGAAACCTGGGACCTCGTGTGTCCTCTGTGATAACATGCAGGCTTGGCTGCAGAGTTGGACATGGCACCTAGTAGTCCGAAAACTTGCACAAACTTGGAAAGTTTCTCTGACAGGTCGGTTGAAGACTGGCTATTTTTCTTCCACAAACAGGCTTGAAAGATCAAAGCACTTGATACCCCACAGAATATATGGTTTATCATAACATCAGAGTCCATACTTTGTCCAAGCCACCCGAGGTAGTAAATGCTTTGTCATGGGGCTTTGCCATTCCCACCACCGGGCTTTAGTTCCTGTTACTTGTATCTTTGTTAAGTGACACTGCCCATGTCTGCTGAGTGTAGGCAGACCTCTTCCAGCTTTTGATGTATACGGTCATGATCATTCATGAGTGTGTTACTTTTCTTATAGACAAGATACACCCCAGCAGCTATTACTTCCGGCAGCTAGGCTCTGCCTCCACATTGCCAGAACCTCCCTGAACAATACCACCAGCTGTGGGCCAAGGAGGCAGTTGCAAGTCACTGGGAGACGCTTCATAGCTGTGATGGTCGCTATCAGTTGTCAGCTTGACTAACTTTGTAATCACCCAGAAGACATGATCTGGGTGTGTCTATGAAGATGCTTCCAGAGAAGATTAACAGATGAAGGCCCGCCCTCACATAGCTTCCAAGGGGCAGCCAGATACAAGGGTCTGAGGGAAGGCAGTTTGTCCCTGCCCTCAGATCCCAGCTCCTTAACCTATAGTGAATTGTATCCTCAGCTCTCCTGGGAGCTCCAGGCCCTGGCATTGGACTGGGACTAGAGGCATCTAGCTACATGGGCTGTGAGCTACCAGGTTGCTGCCTTCTTCATTATGCAAGTGACCACTGTAGGGCTACACACAGCCCTTAAGTGCAAGCTACTCTAGTAAATCTTATATCTACATTACGCTAGTCCTGCTCCTCTGAAGAACCCTCCTTAACGCAAATTTGGGTACTGGTAGTAGACAGGAGGTTAGCTCTGAGAAGGACTGGCCAGTGGGTTCCCCAATTCAGGACATTAAAAAGAGGACCAGGGGCCGGGTGGTGGTGGCGCACGCCTTTAATCCCAGCACTCGGGAGGCAGAGCCAGGCGGATCTCTGTGAGTTCGAGGCCAGCCTGGGCTACCAAGTGAGTTCCAGGAAAAGGCGCAAAACTACACAGAGAAACCCTGTCTCGAAAAACCAAAAAAAAAAAAAAAAAAAAAAAAAGAGGACCAGGGGCCAGGCAGCGGTGGCACTCGCCTTTAATCCCAGCACTCAGGAGGCAGAGGCAGGCGGATCTCTGTGAGTTCGAGGCCAGCCTGGGCTACAAAGTGAGTTCCAGGAAAGGCGCAGAGCTACACAGAGAAACCCTGTCTTGAAAAAAACAAAACAAAAAAAAAAAAAGAAGCCTCAAAAGAAGAATGAGTGGTAGTGGACACTCTAAATGGGCCAGCTCGGGACCCTAAAACAGGATGGTGGTGGCTGAGTCCAGGTCAGATCAAACCAACTTCAGGAATTCCTCACTGGGGAGCAGATGGAACTCTGTTAGCTTTCTCCCCTATCAAGTTTTTCAATTTTAGGATAACTTAAACCCTTCTACCTATTCTTGCACCCTCTGCATCTGCTTTAGAATTCTGGGTAAATTAGAATTCTGGGTAAATGGGCATCCAAAGAGAGTACACCCCTTTCCTGGAAGTGTCTGCCCTGGAGGAGGCATGGGGGATGGTTTAGCAGAGAGGAGAAATGTAAGCCCCCATGTCTGCCAGGATCAAGCTAGAGTATGTTTTTGCTTCCTTATTTAATATCATTAAATAAACTTGAAAAGGTGTGTGTGTGTGTCACACACATGTCATGGCATGCATACATAAAGAGGTCAGAAGACATCTCTCAGGGGTCTGTGCTTTCCCCCACCTTTTGGGATCCAGGGATTGAACGTAGATTGCCAGGCCTACACACAAGCACCTCTACCTGCTGAGCCAGCCTGCCAGCCTGCCCCAGTTAAACTCTTGATTGACGGTGGGAATTCTTCCCTTTCAAGAACATAAGAAAAGATACTTTAGATAGAGTCCAGAGCAGAGGAAACTGGAGGTCTGTACTCTTGTGAGAAGTCCTGCTCTGGGGAGGTGTAAACGTCTACCCCTCCTTACACTGTCCCAAGAGTAAAGTACAGCTCCACATGAACTCATTGGGCTTGCTCACAGAACATGGGTGAAAGGCTGCTTACAGGCGCATGGGAAGCCCAAAGCAGCTCCACTGGGAAGTCTTAAGCATGTATGATGGTTTCTCTGTAGCTGAAAAGATGGAGTCCCTTCTCGGTTAACTTTCCTCAACCTAGATACCCTAGCACCTCCCCAGATACCATGCAATCAGGGTTTGCAAAATCAGAACTGCATACAAATGCCTGAGAGTGGCTGGAGTCTGGCGGGGGTGGGTGGGGGGTGGGGGGGTGGGTGGGGGGGTGTCTAATGATCCCACCCCTTCCTTCTCTAGAGGACCATCAACAGTCAGCAGGCCCAGGGGTGGTGGTCTCTTGCAAGCAGGCATGGATGACCTGATGAAGATGTGTCTGTGTTACTCTTGGAATAGCACTTTATAACATCTATGTATCATCATGACTGGCTCTAGAAAGAATTGTGGGTGCTGGGAATTGAACCCAGGTCCTCTGGTAGGACAGCCAGTGCTCTTAACCACTGAGCCACCTCTCCAGCCCTTCTAGAAAGAATAGTAAGGGTGGCTTTCTCTAACAGGGTTGGTGGGTCTCTAATTCTGCTACAGCCAACCTTGCCCAAGTCCTCCTCGTGGTATAGAGTTAAAGGGTTACATACAGTTAAAGGGATTACACATTGTTGGCTCCTGATTCACCATTTGTGAGAGGCAAGGAATTTAATGACTCCACATAATCTTTTGGAACACTTCGGGAAAAATAAGGAATAGAATGATGCTGGCTGATTGCTAAAAGACCAAAGAAATGAAGGAAATAAGCTTAGAGAGGCAAGTTTCCCAGCTCCAGATGAAGACATGACCAACCATAGTTCATGGGCCTCAGGTGGCCAACAAGAGCTATAAACACAATCCAATACAAAACCATAAACTTACTTAAAACATTATGAGATATTTCTGTGATTTTTTTAAAATGTGATTTTCCAGGATGAACTTTGTAGGTGAGATCTTGTGACAGTGTCAAAAGGTTGGACATGCCTTCTAAGTGTGTCTTAAAGAGAACCTTCTCTCCCGCAGCCACAAACTGAAGCTGCTGAAAAGCAGTCAGAAACCCTCATCGTGTAGCTGGCTGACCTACAAAGTGAGTTAAGTCTGGGCTCAAAGTATGCACATAAAGTGAAGATCTGGAAAACTGGGGTCCTGTAACTGGGGAAAGGCTGATGCCATTGAACACTCAGTGGTTGATGCGTTTACTTTACCCGAAGAAGTAATGTCCATCCCCACCCTCAGAAGCAGATGCATCCCAGTCCTGCTCCTATCTGCTGCAGAATCACCCTCAGACATTGCTTGGGGTAATAATACTGAAATATATAATTTCAATGACCTTCTTGCCCATCTATCTTTGCCTCTAGATTTATAACCAGACTCAAGGCTAAACAGGCCCTGTGATGGCTGTTCTTAGATGTCAACTTGACTATAACTGGAATGAACTACAATCCAGAAATGGAGGGCACACTTGTGATCTGGATCTTGAGGCTGGAAGACATAGGATTTTGATCTGGATATTGAGGCGGGATGACACATACCTCTAATCCAGATCTTAAGGCAGGAAGGCACACCTTTAACCTGGGCCACACTTTCTGCCAGAGGCCTACGTAAGGACAGTGGAAGAATGAAGGGTTTTTCACCTGCTTGTCCTTGCCTTGTCTGCACATCCGTTCCTTCACTGATATTCAGCAAATACAGAAGACCAGGCCAGCGAGACACCCAGCCTCATGGGACTGAGCAACTCTAGATTCTTGGACTTTCCATTCACAGCTAGTCATTGTTGGACTGCAGCCTGTAAGTCATTCCAATAAATTCATAGATAGATAGATAGATAGATAGATAGATAGATAGATAGATAGATAGATATTACAAATACATATACAAATATATATATATTTCATGTATGTGTGTGTGTGTGTGTGTGTGGAGAGAGAGAGAGAGAGAGAGAGAGAGAGAGAGAGAGAGAGAGAGATTCATTCCATAAGTTCTGTGACTCTAGAGAACCCTAATGCAGGCCCCTCGAAGTGAGGTACAGAGTGACCCATATAGAAGTGCACTACACCACTAAAGAATTTTCAAGCTCTGGGGAATATACATAGGGATAGATTTTAGGGGTGTGGGATAATGGTGGAAGGAACATAAAATCATATCAGGCTAGATTTATCATCATTGCTTCATTGAGCAGAGTCTGAGTTTAATGTTAAGGTCCCTCAGTTTCAAAAA